TTGTTCTCTCTTTCCCCGAAGTAATATATTCTTAGTTGAACCAAAATTATGTGTATATATACATGAGTCTACTTAGCATAAGAATATAAACTTAACGCAGAAAGCCTTAGCTAACCCTAACTTTACCTACCGAAAGAGCTTCAAATAGAAATTCCTTTGACTTATTCAGGCGTTGGCTTTCGGCTGCACAAAATCCCTTTAAATCAAAACATGTTTGATTTTCCAAATCTTCGTTGCTTCATTATTCAAATATTCTCTCCTTTTACGTATTTTTCCCTTTCTTTTACTTTCCCGCAATGTGCCTTTTAGAATTGCAATAGTCGTTGGTCAACCTTAGTAAACAGAACTAACAATGGTTCTACATAATTTGATCCATTTGCAGCCACCGATATATCATTCTTTCTACCAAGCAGTAACGATTTAATATATATATTGTAGTAAAGCGGCCAGTGACACATACTTTATATCTTTAATATTGCAAAACACGGTTTATCTCTACGTCTACAACTTGATAATTTCATTTTCATACTCCAAAATGTTTCTTTCCGTTTGTTTGCTCTTATATATTCAACATTGATTTTTACAATTCATTCAAATTAACGTGAAATGAAATTCTAGAAGGATTTTTTTTTTTTTTTTTTTTTTGACTGGATTCTAGAAGGATATTCACAAGCTTATAAGCATACAAATACATGCACATATATCTGAAAAATATATTCAATGTTCTGAATAAGCTGTTTGGAATACGACCTTAAAATTTAAAACCTCCATGTATATAAAACAACCAACTTGTACTTTCGTATAGCCTAGTACAATTATGTGGAAATAAAAGGGCATATTATCAGTTATCACGCACGTGATTATGTCATCAGGGCGACAATTTAATTTGGCTTGCATAGAAAATTAAAAAAAAAAAAAAAAAAACCGGATTTTCGAATATCGTTATCTTTATATCTGGCGTGTTGGAGTAGAATTAGAAGATCTGTAGATTTCTTTTTTTTTCATGAAAAGCTGATATATGTCATCTATGGTCAAAGTATCTAGTACATGAATTAAAACTCGCGCATATTTATTACACTGACCAAGTTCTAGACGTAGGATATTCTGTAATCAATGTCTCTTTTGTAATTTTTATCAGACACATTTATAGCTCATTTAGTTTATAATTTAAATCAATAATTTTAATTTTAAATTTAAATTTTGTGAGAAAATTTATTAACAGAAACTTTTTTTATTTAAATGTTTTGTGAAAGAACATAATTAAAATTATATGTATAAATCAGTGAACTAAATAGGTGTTACTAAGACTAAATTATAATAAATGATATAATGAATCTAGACCATGTTCTGTGCTTTTACTTAACTACCAAGATATTCGGTTGGAGGATCGAGCCGAAATAGGAGGATTGGCTTTAAGCCTACTACTTTGACCATAAAGTTTCATAGGCCAAACACTAACCGTATTTAGCCATTGATTCAGAGAAAGTGATGGGCCACTTGCAAAGCAATTCTTGAAAGCGTGTTTTGGCTAGGCACTAAACCAAGGATAAGACCGCTAATAATTTAATATATGTTGGCAGGTTAACTTACATTTGCCACAATAGTCACACGTTTTCTGCGTGCCAAAATTACTCCCCCTCGCAAAAAGCATATCATTTGGTATATAACTTATTAGAGGTCAGCAAACACGCCATCAAGTTTCCCTTCGTGAGTATGTACATTAAGGGAATATACTCTTTATACCGCGTCCAAAACTCAGTGAAGCAACTAATGACATGTTTAATTTACGGATTCGAATTTTTAATTTGAATTGAGATGTGACTTTATGTGAGAACTTTTTACTGTAACAAAAAAAGTTATATTTGACTGTGTCTGAGAGTTTTTTACTGTAACAAAACTCGAATCGGTGAAATGAACAAGACCTAAGACAGAGCAAATATGTTATTGAACACCGTTGATGTTCAGCACTAGCCACTAATAAATCATATGGGACACATAAATAGAGCTCAATTTCTATTAGTGGTAATGTTTAGCAGTTAGCACCGGTGGTGCCCTAATGTATTTTTCAAAACATAGTTTTGAATTAACAATGCAAGTTGTATACTCATTAAAGAGAAAAGGCTTGCGGGACATGTCTTGTATGATAATTAATAGAAGGTGAATTCCACAAGATAAATTATAGAATATAAACTCCTTTTATAAAATTTATATTGTGGGATCTACCTTACACTTATTATTACATGGTGTTAGATAGCACTATTGTCCCTTAATATTGTTTTTCTTTACAAGTTAAGGAGCAAGGAAAAAATGATCATATAATATAATAGCTTTGGATTGGCAAAATTTTTTGAGCCCTTCTACAATAAGAATTCCTACTGATAATATAAGTTTATGATGTTTAAATCTGATAAAAAACACATTAAAATGAAAAAAAAAATTGCTGAATAAATAATTTCTAATATGGATTTAACAACTTAAAACAAATCACTCATGGGTAGTTTTGTTTTATCTATTTAAACTCTACTGTTGAAAACTCCTTAATTTTATCCACCGAATTTTACGAAAGGATAAGGCTCTAGAGTATGCCTGCTCTCTATCTGAACCTCTGATTGAGGGGGAAAAAAAAACTAAGTCAATAGGTTCCCATTATTAGTTTCTTTTCATTCTAAATTCGCTCTCCAGCAGTACAAACAAGTCTTCAGATTGAGCGGTGCTTTTTGCCACTTAATTGATATGTTCTCATTTCTCTTCTAAGAAAAATGTCCGACCATTTACATGTCATGATGACTTAAATTTCGGTTCAGCAAAGACGACGAAAAAGGGTTGAGCGCTAGAGCTATAGCCCTTCTAGTGCGTTCTAGAATATAGTTGTCAAGTTTCAATCGGTAATCAATGCGAAATGGAGAAAGATTAGAAAAACCAATTACCCTTTGACAAGCAGTACAATCAACCAAGTTTAAGTGAAAATCCAACATCGCTTAAACAGTGACTAAGCATTTAATAGACTCAGAAACTTTTCTTTTTTTAGGCTTGTTGTTTTGGAATAAAACTCAAAAAAAGTTTGAATTGAAGTTACAATTTTATTTAAGTTCATGTTCTTTTATAAAATTTGAGTTTTAACTTGAGTTTGAGGCTAAAATTTGAGTTCAAGTTCCCCCTTCAACTCAAGTTCATAAACTCAAACTCAAGTTAATGAATAATATTTTTTCTATTATTAAAAACGCCATAACTTTTTCGTTTTAATTTTGATTGAGATGATTTTTTTTCTATACGTTTACAACGAAAAGACGAATAAAACCTCACTCATATACCCTTTAAAATTTTCCATCATCATTGAATTTTTATTAAAATACTATATAAATACGAATTCAAGTTTTGATCCACCTAAACACAAAATCAAATAGATTCTCTATTCAAACCATAACTCAAATGTGTACATCCAAACACAAACTCAAGTTACAACTTCAACTCAAGTTATAACTCAAATTCAACTCAAGATCTAAACTCAAGTCACCATAATTTAAAAATATAACCAAACAAGCCCTTAATCTCTAATTTAGTTAAAATCGTATCATATTAAAAAAAATTATGTAAAACATATAGCTTTTAATATGAATGTAACGGTTCAAAACAAAAAAATTTTGATATTTCATTTTTTCAGGACTTCTTAAAAACTTTCTTTTTTCCATTTGTTTATTTGTTTCAATTTGAAACGCTAGTACAATCTTCTCTAATGCTACACTAAGGAAGAAAAAATATCTTTTATAGGAACTCTCTTAATCGTTTACCACAGGAAGTTGGTCTTTGATTGATATCATTACCAATCGCGGAATTTGCATGAATTTTTTTGGAGGGTCACTGTGGTTATTTGGTGCTCCCACCTAAATTGATTTTTCGCGAGTCCAATATAATCCCACTAATAATGTCCCAACACAGCAACATATCATAGAGTGGTGCACATGGATAACCAATGGAAAATTATTCCCAGTCTAAAGAGCATTTGTGGAACACAAAATATGTAGCTACTTTCTAATTAAGAGGACAATGTTAGATATAAGAGATTTATTGACGCAGTCAATGGGTCAATAATAAAATCAAGGTCACATTTTTGGACGTGTAAAATGCGTCGATAATGCATGAGAAAAGACTCGTAGATTAAAATTTTATTGACTTAAAAATTAGAATGGACTTTATCTGGTAGATCTCTCCACTGATTATGTCAATTTTTGACCGTTAAATTTAGTTAAAATCACATCAGACTAAAAAAATATACAGAATAAAAAATTACTAATATAGATTTGATTATTAAAAAATAAAAAACTACTAATATTTTATTTTTTCTCATCCTACTAAAAAAAACTCTCTAATTAGAAATAATATGTCCTTTTTTTATTGTTTCATGCGAGTATTGTAATTTTTCTTTGGATCTTAAAAGAGATAATATGTCCTTTTTTTATTGTTTCATGCGAGTATTGTAATTTTTCTTTGGATCTTAAAAGAGTGGCACTATACCAGCTTAGATCAATCTGAATGTTTTTAAGGTGTCTGCCTGACATCATTAGCTGGAAATTCTTGGCTTGTTTTACCGGATTATTATTATTATTAGTTTTAAATGAGATTATTCTTTGAACAAGTGCCCTAGGGTTTGTTTATATTACCCCTCAATTAATGACCAACAGGCAAACTTTGTCTGTCTTTCCACTTGTCCAAATTAAGTCGGCTGGTTGTTAACAAACACGCTGCAAAACATATTGAATCCCCGGCGATAATAACGAGGATTTTATAATCTGTTCTTCTCCTTTTCCATATCTTTTCTCTCTGTTCTCCCTAAATATTTAATTTTTATAATTTTTTTTTTGTCAGATCAAACAAATTAAAAAAAATAAAGGACCCCATCTTTTTATATTTTTGAAATCTTTTTCTATTTAGTATAAATAATTCTTTTTCTTTTGGTTCCACGCTACTCTAGTAATAATAAAGAAAAACTAGTATAAAAGTCTACCATCGAACCCTGACAAGTTCACACTGCCATTTGTCAAGTCATCCCACTCTATATATTTACGTCTTTCCTCTTTACCTTCTGTAGCCCATTTCTCAAGTCCTGATCTCTTCAATCTCTTCAAAACCTCATAATACAAAAAAAAGCACACAAAAATGGCCAACAATAACATTAAAGCTCTTCTCTTAATAACCCTTCTTCTCTGCTCCACTCTAGCCTATGCAGCTAGGCCGGAACCAGGGTTTTTTACTAAAATTTCTGCCAATACCGAACCTGGGGTTGGTTGAATTTTCATGTTCTTTACTTTTTTGTTCTTTTTAATGCATTTTAATTAATGGGTTTTAATTTAATTTTCTTGGTTTTTTTTTCTGGTTTATTAGGTTGCTGTGGAAGCAGAGCAAGTTGAGGTGGCGGATATTGAAAGCTGTGCAGGAGTTCAGGAAGAAGAGTGCCTAATGAGGAGGACCTTGGCTGCTCACACCGACTATATCTATACCCAGAAGCATAAACCATAAAAAAAATAATAATAATAATTTTAGTTTGTCTAAAATTATAGCTATTGAATTTGTGGGTTACGTAATACTTGTTAGTGACCATAACAAGATATCTTCATTAGCAGAATTTACAAGTATGACTTATTTTTTTCTTCTTCTTCTTCTTCTTCATGAATTGGGATTATGATGTTTTTTCCTTTTTTGTTTTGTTTCTTAGAAAGAAAAAAAAAAAAAAAAAAAAAAAAAATAGTTAGTGACCATAACAAGATATCTTCATTAGCAGAATTTACAAGTATGACTTATTTTTTTCTTCTTCTTCTTCTTCTTCATGAATTGGGATTATGATGTTTTTTCCTTTTTTGTTTTGTTTCTTAGAAAGAAAAAAAAAAAAAAAAAAAAAAAAAATTATATATGTTAGAGAATTCATTGCGTCGCACAGAAAAGTGATGTTGCAAGAGTAATTTAAGGGGTAATCTTATTAAACATAAGGTTTGTACTTAATATATCCATATCCCATTATAATTAGCAATAGAAGTTTTTTTTTTTTTTTGTTTTGAAATGGAAGTTTTTTTTTAAAACATTGTAGTTAATTAATTAAATCTAATAAAGTCATTCGTCCACGATTGGAGCTTAGAGTGGTGCAAGCCTTCCGTCGTGTACGTACTAGTGTTAGTGAATGGTGGGGGCGAAGAAGCATAAAAAAAATGTTGAGTAAAGCTAAGACAAATGTTGGCGATCACATCAAGCAAGTGGACAAAAATATATAATAAGTACACATGATTTTCTAGAATAACTAGTGTGCGTGTGTATGTATATATATATATATATATAGTTAATTAATTTACAATACATATATTATATCCCCATTCAACTGCTTTCATTTTCAAGAATTCCCGCACCATATATGTTATGAGCACTTCTCAAATGGATGATTAAGGGGTACGTTGCCGCCATTTTCCGTGTAAGCTTAGTATAAATTTACATTATTTAATCTCGTTCATTTTATATATTCGAATTTAAAATTTAAGTTTTTACTACAGAAAAATTTCTTATAAACAGTCACATTTAATTTTTTTTATTACAATAAAAGGCTCACATAAAATCACATTTCAATTTAAATTAAAAATTCAAATCAACAAACTAACACATGCTCTTAATTTTAACTATATCATGACCAAAAAAGCCAAAATGATTATAATGACCATTTGAAATGAGCTAATATTCTTTTAGTGCCACATGCGAAATGCCGAGTAGGTCGTTCTCTAGGCACTTTTGGTAAACTAATACACTGTACATAAAAATTATTGATTTCCTCCGGCTCCTTTGTATTTTAGAGCCCGTTTAGTTGTTTAGTTGGATGATTCGTTTTTTGATTCGAATCATAGTTTATAATTTACTATAATATTTTTTCTCATAAAAAATACACATAAATCAAAAATAATTTTAATTTATGAACCAAACAGACTATCTTATTTTTTCAAGTTGCATCATTTAAAAGGACATTGAAGTACTCTATTATACACTCAACCAATTTATTTCATTGTGCTTGATCGGGTGAACCGATCATATTATATATTATTAATATATTATTCTTTAATCTTTCTTCTCTTGATGATAAGACAAATCACATTAGTCCAGTAGCCACTATATGTCACTTTTCAGTGGCCACTTCAAATGACTAGGTAAGATAACTTTTCACTTTTTTATTACTATCTTTTTAAAATGTGGGTAGGCTAGCTAGCCACCTAGTCTATATTGCGCATGCACTATTGTAGAAGCCAATTATCAATTTATCATCATAATCATAGTGGCGGAGTCAAAATTTTAATGCAAGAGGCCTAAATTAAAAACATAAAAAATGTTAATAAAATTAATTCTTAATATTTTTAGATAAATAATATATATGTATAAATTATTGAACATATTTGAATAATAAAAATTTTAACAAGTAAATTAGATAAGAAAAACTATTTAAGAGGTACATAATATGAAAATAGCAACTTCAAGTGTCAGAAGAAGAATTTTTTTTTTTAATATACACAACATATTTGAATGAATATATATTACATCAATATGTGCAAATTAGAGAAAATGCGTGTGTGTGAGAAAATCATAATTGAGATGGTTGTTTAAAAAAATTCTTAATTAGGGACACATTTTGAGAAAAAAATATTTTAATGTCATTTTTTATATAGCTTAGATTATATCTAAGAATATTTTAGAAGGGGTCAATTTTAAAAAAAAAATTATTTTCATAAGAATAAATTAGAGAGAAAAAAATCAGTTAGATACATTTAAAGTATAAAATTTAATAGAAAAAGATCAAAAAAATATTAAGGGTGCGTTCACTTCACGTATCCCACTCAAGTAAGCCCAACTCGAGTGGGATTTTAGGCTGAGTTTTGCGTTCAGCAAATGGCACTCGAGTGTAAAACTCGAGTAAGAGAGTTTGGCATACGGTTGAACTTCTCATTATTGTAGTGTGGTTCTACAGTGTTCCCATGTGCTTAAACAGTGCAGATTCTCTACTTTCTTCTCGTTCAGCCTCGTTCCTACCTCCCCAGTGCAGATTTCTCTCTGCTTTCTACCCCTCGTTCTTGCCTCCCCCTTCTGATTTCACTCTGAAAAAATGATTTCCTGCAGATTTTGGTTTGAAAAAACGATTCTCTCCAGTGAGCAAAAGGTAACTCGAATCGGTTGCTTCGATTGGGTCGATCTGCAGCGAAAAAATGGTAAGAAGTCTCCCCTATTTCCATCATTGTTGCTTCGATTGCTTGTTGCATGCCCAACCCTAGAATGGTTTGATGATCGAGCTACCTCACGATTTGGGGGTTGTGATAGCCGATCAGCCGTTGTCCTCAACTGGTTCCAACCGGGTATGATCTTTCCCATCTACTGAAGTTCTATATACCATTTTGTGTTCTGGATTTCCCATGGTTGCACCGTAGTTCTTCTTTGTTTTGAATGGTTTGATGATGAACTATTGGTTGTCGTTTGTATTGTGATGTTGTCGTGTACTGAGCCCACTGTTGTCGTTTGCATCAACTTTGTTCTCTTCTTTGTTGTCGTATTGCCTCCACTGTTGTCGTTGTTACCTTAGTCTATTGCATCCCATGTTGTCGTATTGCCTCTCTTGTTGTTGTATTGCCTCCATTGTTGTTGTTTTTACCTGTTGTTGTATTGCCTCCCCTATTGTCGTATTGCCTCCCCTGTTGTTGTATTGCCTCCCCTGTTGTCGTTTTTACCTTAGACTATTGCCTCCACTGTTGTCGTTCCGCACATGACCACGCTGTTCAACATGTAATGTTGGCTATGATGAAATTGGTTCAAAAATTAGAACACTCGTCGTAGTGGCGTCCTGTAGGCAATGTGGCACTTAGTTACCGCTTCATTGGAATGTATTGAGCACCTCTGAAGCATGGCAGCTACGTCGCTCGTGCTTATAAGGATGATGCTCCGAGTGTTGTTGCGATTAATTACCTTTATAAAATTTCTGAGCAATTTATAACATTGCCCCACTTGTTACGTGTAAAAAACAGGTAATAGGAATTGTTGTTAATGGCAGTGATGTTCCAAAAAAATTATGAGCCATCGATAGATTATTACTTATATTTTATTTTCCAATGTAATATCTTGTGTAAGTGGTGACAAATGTTATTCATTTTTTTCCAATGCAATATCTTGTGTAAGTTGTGAGTTTGAATTTGTGCAAGTGAACACAAAATTCAAGTTTCAAATGTCACATCAAGTTCTTACTAAACACTTAACTCAAATTTCACATTACAACTTCAATTAAAAATAACTCAAATTCATTTTTTCAACTCAAATCATAAAATTCGAGTCAGTAAAGTGAACGGGCCTTAAAAATTAAAATAATTTGAAATTAAATTTTATGAATATATATATTTAAAAAATATATATATAAGGAGGCAATATAATTTTTTTTTTAAAAATACATATACTAAAAATCAAATATCAAATATCCAGGGTGGCATATGCCCCCGGGCCTCACCTCCCTCCGCCACTGATGATCATCATCGTCATTTCCCTCAAAATGAAAGCTATCTTCACCCCCCTAGCGTCCGTACCAAACGTATTACGAGTGTACGTCCACTACCACAATTCGTACGCAAACCAACCCACTCATAAAGTACTACTCCCACACCATTCGTGTATATATAAATACACATATTTGTTGAGCAAAATATATATATATATATATATATATATATATATATATATAACAAGAATCAATAAAATGTGAAAAAGACGTATGAACAAGAAAACAGAAAGAGACGTAAAAAGAAAATAAATAGAAGAAAGATTATTAATTAGAAATTTCTGCAAAAATTCAATGTAATATTCCTAATATATATGGTTAATTTGAAACAAATCGACAGCATTAGCTTCTCAATGTTAATTACGTTGTTTTTCCTTGTAGTGCTTGTTTTTAAGAAACAAACAAGTCAAAGGTTCCTCGGCAGTAGCTTGCAAAAAACTCAACGCGCATATATTCCGACTATAAACCCAATTCAAATGGTACAAGATGTTCGGAAATCATGAGGTTGTCCTTCTTGAATCATCGCTTTGCAGAGTCCTAAAATGCGGTTAAATAGACTATAAGGCAGAGAACAAGGCACGCTTGAAAGCATGGAGAGTTGAAGATGGTAGAGGAATGCATGACTTATCAATTTATCAGCTAAACTGCTTGTACAAGCTGAAACGGAGAGGTCAACCCAAATTAGGTTATTGAGGACCAAAACGATGTGCTATATATATATATACACATGCAGTATCAGCAGAAAAACGCCTATTTGAAGTACTCGACAAAAAACGAATTACTACGAAGCTGAACTCCTTTACCTTTTTTTCTAATAGTCAATTATGTGTAGCTGAAAATGAGCTCTATTTCCAATAAAGTGTTTTTTTTTTTTGGAAGCCATGTGTTTTTCTTTTCTTTTGAAGCCATGCGGCACATTAGAAACTCATTTACTTCCAAAAAAAAAAAAAAAATTTAAAATCAACGAGAAGCTGAAAGGATAAAAGGGAGGCAAAACTAACTGCAGAAATTCTGAATCATGGTCAATAATTGCATAATAATTATATAATTATTGTGACAATATTTAGACGTGAAGAGCGATATGTATGAAAAATGCAA